CGCACTCTAGACAGTAACAACCAATCACAGCGCACCATCCCACGCACTCTAGACAGTAACAACCAATCACAGCGTACCACTCCACGCACTCTAGCCAGTAACAACCAATCACAGCGCACCATCTCACGCTCTCTAGACAGTAACAACCAATCACAGCGCACCATTCCATGCACTCCACTAGTCAACTAAATTAAAGTAACATGGCAAAGATGAATGCACTTCTGGAAGTTGAATGTAAGGGAAATATCATTTTGGAATTTCTGTGGTTTAATGTGATATTGTTCATGATGAAATGTTCTTTTATTGTTGTAATTAATTTGTAGCATTAACAAGATGACCCGTTGAATTCATTTTGGGAGCGATGACTGATTGAATGTATTTTTAGTCCAGTGCCTGCATATAAGATTAGTATTGATCAAGTTCAGAGGCTGTCATACGTGGAACTTACTATGTTTCAAAATGAAAAATAACTTTTATATTGATTCAATGGATTTATTGCATTTTGGGGAAAAAAAATAATAACATTTTATAATAAATCTTTTAAAATCAAAATCTGGATTTGAATTTGTAATGTTATTATAACCTAAAGATGCTATGTGAAAGTCTGAAACAGAAAATAGTGGTTTTCATCGCCGCTTTCTTGGTAAAGAAAACACATTTTTACTCAAATTAATCCAAATGGATTTATAGCGTTTTGGAACCAAACTCTTCATTTAGAAAACAAACATACAGTAAACATCTTATTATTGCAGTGTAAAATCAATATATATGTTAACAATTACAAGGTTTAACACTCTTCTAGAAATGAAACGCAGGTCATGCGCTCATATTTGATCAGATGAAGGCCTTTGTGAGGTCAGATCGTGGTCATGATGAAAGCAAGAGTTTGGCTCTTGGCGTCGATCATAAAGCACGTGCTCGTAAACTAGTCGCTCGTCGACGTCACTGATTTTCCACAGCAGTCGTCGGCGGTGTTATGTGCTTTCAAAAATGATTAAACATCAAACTGTCCAGACAGCAAACGGACTGCTGGGATCTGGACTCATCAAGCTTTAAAGTAAATCTGCATTTAGTGCTAAACTGACAGCAGGAGAAGAACTGAGCGCTGTGCGAGTTTACGGACGAATCTGCTTAGCCATTACCTTACAACCAACATGACATGTCTTCATAATGCATGCATGGTCCTGGTCTTACTGTAAGTTATTCATCAGTGACGTTACTCTGAAAAACACATTTCAGTCTTTCATTAAAATATCTACTCGATCTACTGCACTCAGACGTGCTACTTTAGTGTTATTGAAATAGTGTTATCATTTTTATTAATATTTTGAATTGGTTTTATATTTATGTTTTCTGTTTTAACTTCAGTTAAATTTTTAATAGTACTATAATTTTTTTATTATTATTATTACATTTACATTTAGTCATTTAGCAGATTATTATTATTATTATCATTATTATTTTTATTCATTTAAATTATTATTTTTTTTTTTACATATATCTATATAGTTATATATAAGCGCTATATAAATAAAGGTGACTTGACTTGGAGATTTTCAAGGAATTCAAGCACCTGTACAAACCCTGATATATATATACAAACATTTAATTCCAGTTAAAGTTTATTTTATTTCAAGGTTTTTATGGTTTTAGGTATCTATAACCCAGAAACAGCTCATACTGAATCAATAAAAGTGCCTAATTAAACAGAAAATCCCTCGGCTTGAGATCTGGAGGCCAAACACTCTGCAGTGCGCAGGGCTCGATCCCACCGTCTCTCCTGACCTCTAGAGTTTTCTGTCAGTACTGCAGGATTCTTACATGCAGTTTCTCCAGCTCCTCTTTACTCTCTCTCTTCAGCTGCAGGAGAGCGGCCTGGTGCTCTGAAACACACAAACAACAGCAGGAGTTCATTCATCCAGAGAAAACACAAACTACCACCGTACACGAGCTCAGGTGTTCCTCCTGCAACGAAGTAAGAGTATAGAGCTGTGAGACGAATGTGGAGATTAAAGTTCAGTTCATCAGGTCAGATCAAAAATCATTGATACTATGATCGGGAGTTGTTGTATGTGATGTTAAACTTGTAGTGTGCTCGGGAGTGATCAAATGGGATGTGAAACTTGTAGTTTGTTTTTGAGTTTTTGTATGTGATGTGAAACTTGTAGTTGGCTCGGAAGTTGTCGTATGTGATGTGAACCTGTTAGTCCAATTGTGAGTTGTGGTGTGTGACATTGGTGTAATGGTGGTTGGTCTTCCATCAACTACCAGGTGATGTAGTGTATATGGAGAAGAGGAGGGGTCATGTTATGTTACTATGTCAATAGTTATTTTTGTATTTGAAACACACACACACACACACACACATGTCTGGTTTGCTATCCTTGTAGGGACTCTCCATAGGCGTAATGGTTTTTATACTGTACAGACCGTATATTCTATTGCCCTACACCAACCCTACCCCTAAACCTACCCCTTACAGGAGACTTTCTGCATTTCTAGATTTTCAAAAAAACTCATTCTGAATTATCTCTGTGTACTTTAATGAATCAAGCTCCTGCAATTCATTCCTTCAGTCCTTCAAACCGGGATGATGCTTAAACTGCATTTGATTAGCATCACATGACACACAACAGAGCCGTGTGATCACGCAGGACGCATAAAAACATACACAACAACATCTGAGCTTCTAAAGCCCAGACGGCACAGATTAGATTAGATTAGATTAGAGTAGAGTAGAGTAGGAAAGAAGGTGTGGAGGAGACGAGTGAAGACAAACCCGCTCACCGGCTTCAGTGTAACGCAGGCCCACCTTCTCCTCTCCGTCCTCTTTAGGTGGAGGCCAGACGGCCAGCAGACGGCCAGGGGTTCGGTCCTCACCGTCTGACGGAGACGTGACCTCAGACTGAGGAGAGACACACAGCGTGCAGGAATTAATCAACCGAAAACCGAGGAAAACCAATGCACTGCATGAATACAGACACTCGATTTCACTTAGCTTTCAAACTTAGTACTTCATAAAGCATTTTAAAAACAACAACACTCACAAAATAACAAACACAAGCAAAAAAACTAGTAAATAAAACTTGAATTGCCAGTTGGCCAAGAACAGCATGATTAAATCAAAGTGTAAGAGAAATAATCTCCACCAAAACACCAACATATTTTCATACACACAGACTGACATATATGTAATGCTCAGAGCTGGTTTTCACTGAAATGCGAGAAAATTAAAAGAGCAACACTTTGCATTAAGGTCTCTTTGGTTAAGGGTTTCGTGAACGCAACCTTACAATGAGCAATATATTAAAAAAGCAATGTTGTTAACCTTTGTAAATACATTTATTAAAATTAAGAATTAAAATATTGATTAAAATAAAATGATTTCAATGAATACTGTTGGTTTATAAAAAACACTGTTCACTGGTTGCTTGCGTTATTTCACAGTACATTAATTCATATTAACAGATCAAATGTTTTCTATGCCTTCATGAATGATCACGTTGATGGAGATGTAATAAATCATCTGTATGAGCATACATCTGCATAAAATAATTAAATGATAAATAATAAAAAATTAATTAATAGTATTTCTACTTTTACAAGGACAAAATGCACCATGTTCATTGCCTGTAAACAATAATATTAATTAATTAATTAAATAATTAATCAATCAATTTATTAATTCATTAAATTAATTATTTATTGCCAATAAATGTTTTCAATTACATTTACTGACGTTTAGCAAAAACATTCATTTGGGCGCTTAAAATCAGAAAAATACAATAATAATAGATTTAGTAAATGTACTAGATCATGTTCATGTTTGTTGATAATTAACATTTTTATAAATCTAAATCTATTTTTATTAACATTTGTTTGTACCCTTAAAATCAGATAAAAACTGAAAAAGCATAAATAATAACAATCAATCAATCAATAAATAGTACTTCTTTTTTTTTATGGGGACGAAATGAAAAATTTTCTTAAGCCTTCAAAAAATATTTGAGATAATCAGATAACTCAGTTTTTTTTAAATTTTCAAAAATCATGTTTTTATTATGTTTTATTGCGTTAGTTAGCTGCAACGTTTAACCTAATCAAAATGACCCAGCTGCAGCTTGATTGAGATTAATTGGAATGCACAATAAAAAAAACATCATTTTTGAGAACTGTTAAAAACGGAGTTTTCTGTTTTTGCAATTGAACTCTTCATTTATTGCCAGTATTTTTTGTCAAATAAATTCACTGACGTGTTAGCAACACACCCTGTGTGAAAACAGAAATAACTACTGCAAATATGATACTAGAAATGATTGACACTTCAATGAATAAGTATGTTAACAACATCATGTTTGATTGCGGTGTCGTAAATCATCTGTAATACATACTTTCTCCTCTGTAGGACTCTTGGGGTCAGCGACTGGAGCTTTACTCAGCTGTCTCTCGAAGATAGACCTCAGCAGCTCTTTATCGCTCTTCTTCTTCCTCCTGACAGCGTCCAGATCCAGCGCTGCATCCACAGGATCCTTCTTAGCAGGTTTCGAGCTGAATAATTTGGATTTTAAAGCATCAAACGACGTATCCGTCACCGTTTTACCAGCGCTCGGATCTGCGGCGTCGGATTTGTCCTCGTTCTGTTTGACTTCGGCGCTCGACGCTTTCTGTAGCAAACCAGTGATTTCAGATAAACGTCTGGGTTCGTTTTTCTTTTTAGTAACTCCAGTGCTGGTGTTTTGTTGGAGTTTGGTTTTGTTGACGTGTTGTTTGAGGCTCAGCAGCGCTCGATCCGCGTCTCGCGGTTTGATTTCTGAAAGCGTCTCCCTCTCGTCTCCGACTGCTCCTTTCTTTAACACTCGCAAACCGCTGAACAAAGCGGGCAGCTGGTGTCTGTCGCCGCTGCTTTTAGCCAAGCTGCTGTCCAGTTTGGAGTCTTTTGGAGGAGGAGAAAGAGCGTCTGGCATGCGCTCAGATCCCGAGAGCGTCTCTGAAAGACCTTTTGTCTCCGGCTGAAGATCTGAGGTGGGTAAAACCGAAGCTGGAATCTCAGCATCTCCTTTTTGGGAATCCGTCTGAGACGCCGGATCTGCTTCTTCTGACGAAGCATCCTCACCTGCTTTATCTGCTTCAGGTTCGTGAAGAGGAAGGACTCGTCTCCAGCTGCTGACGCCGGAGTCGCCCGTGAAACTTCTGTTTAGTATTTCTGATGCTGAGTCTACTCTGTGAACGCTCCAATGTGGCACGTCTTTCTTGGAGTCTTCCAAAATGCGGGATGAGAAATCTAGCGAGCGGTTGATTTTTCCGTACGAGCCGGTCCGGCTCAGAATCGAAGTGTCTTTAAGCGATCGCTCCACGAGACTCTCGGCTTTGACGACAAACGGCTCGAGTTTCTCCTCAGATCCGTCACGTTCCCTGTCAACGACAAGAAGACTTAAAGCGGGGTTTTTACACTCATACCTACTAAAATTCACTCTGCAAAAAAAATTTTTTCTTGTTTTCCAGAACAAATATCTAAAAAATTTTAAATCAAGATATGTTACAAGATACATTAATTGTTTATTAATTTAATTTATTTATTTATTGAAGAAACAAGCATTAAAATGAAGTGAGTTTTTGCTTAAAATAAGAAAAAATATTGGTCAGAGCGGTGTAATCTATAAATAATCTTATTTCCTCTTTGAAATAACCCTAATTATTGTGTGGAATTTTCTTTTTCCCAAAAATGCTAGTTAATAATAAAGTATTGGACTAAAACTTACTGACTTTGCTCATACAGGGTAAAACAACTTCCCAAAAATTTGAATTTATTTTATTTTATTTTTTGGTTACACTTGTGGTATTGCTGATCAAAAATTAAAAGCAAAAATTACCCTACAAAAATTGCTTATTATTATTACTTTTTTCCCCATTATGCTATATTATTTCCAAATTATTTTTCTTTCAATAAGCACAGGTTTTCTATTTCTTGGTAACACTTTACAATAAGGTTCATTAGTTAAACATTAGTTAATATATTAACTAACATGAACTAACCATGAGCAATACATTTGTTACTGTATTTACTAATCTACGCTAATGTTAGTAAAATAAAAATACAGATGTTCATGTTGGTTCACAGTGCATTAACTAATGTTAACACAATTTTAATAATGTGTTAGTAAATGTTGAACTTAACATTAACAAAGATTAATAAACGCTGTATAAGTGCAATTCATTATTAGTTCATGTTAACTCATGTAGTTAACTAATGAACCTTATTGTAAAGTGTTACCTATTTCTTTTTAGAACTGATGGATCATAGATGGATCATAGGCAAAAACATAATATAGGTGCATAAGCTCATATCAATGAGGCCTAAGATCAACCAGCTCCAAAAAGAAACACAAAACCTGTGCTAACTGAAAGAAAACAAACTGAACCCAAGATCTGCTGATAATAACAAGCGTAACATAACAAGCGATTTACAAGCAACTTTTAAAAGGCCATTAGGCACCAAATTAGGCAAAGTATTTTCAGCACAGTTTGTTTCTTAAGATATTTTTTCTGGTTTTAAGCAAAAACTCACTTAATTTTGGTACATTCTTTCAGAAAACATCATAGGTGGCGTTTACACGACACCATTTTCAACTAAAAACAATGTACTTTACGTGCATTTTAATCATTCGTTTTCACAGCCAAAGTGTTTTAAATGTAAACTTTTGAAAACATGCACATTTTTTTCCTGCTATCATCTTCGTGTAGACTACAAAAAAGCTAATTCATGTGTGTGCGTATTACGTGTTTGCATAGTGTTTCCTTACAAAGATATGACTGGCCTGACATGAATAATACAGTTTTTAAGTCGTTTTTGTGGATCCATGTGAACGGGGAATTTTTTATTGTCTGTATGTGCAAAGCACAAAAGAAAAATGTTCTGTTTTTACTACACCGCTGTCATATAAAAGTACACTTCTATAAATAATATCTTTGTAGAACTGCCTATCGCTGGTTGATTAACACTGTTATGGATCTTGAGCTAAATAATAACACTATTGTCTAGAATCTGAACTGTCTCCATAGTTGAGTTTCCATAATTGATTTAGCTATTTCTGTGAAGCTGCTTTGACGCAATCTGTACTGTACAGAAATAAAGGTGACATTTTATTTAGAGGTCAACCGATGTATCGGTTTTGCCGATTAATCGGCATTATCGGTAAAAACCCATGCTGATGGTTTTTACGGGTTGTGTCTGTTACTGGAGCGGCTGAAACTCTGCAGTCATTATGCGGATTTAAAACATCGACAATGAACTATAGTGCTATAGTATACTATAGTGCATGTTTTCATATCATTACTAAGTGATTAATTTGTTGACTAGATGCTGCATTAGTGGAGAAAGAACAGCAGACGCACACATTAGCAGCACCTCAAGTGGCTAAAACAATGCGACCAAAACACACGCAAGTCCGACTGAAATATTTAATGTCACAATTACCATCTATTTGCATTAGTTTATATCCATCTGGTCACATTAAAGCATTTGTTAGCCAGTGAAGTTGCATGTTTAAAACTAGTGACGTGAGAAAGCAAACTGATATGTTCATTCAGTCGACAGAAATCCTGCACGCCGCAGAACACCATTCATATAGCTTTACATTAAATTACATCATATCTGTTCCAGATCGTTGTTAATGTACATAATGACTTCGCCCTGGGCTGGAAGATTGTGTATTGTGCATTTTTCAGTGAAACCTTTGTCTTTCCGTGGCTCTAATAAAGTCTGTATGCTTCATATAGAGAGCTGTAATATATATCGCTCTTTCTCTTTCAGTTTGTTTTAAACACCAAACTTCAATCTATGTCGCTTTTTGATCATTCTTAAAGTAAACTTTTGCTCATTTGGTGATTAAATAAACTGTTTTAGACCGCCACTTGAATTGAATGCGACGTGACATGTGTGTGTGATAACTGTGAGTTTGTTATTTTGATTAGATAATCACAAGTGTTTTAAAATAAAAGCAGTTAAACTGTGAGAGTATACAATAACCATATGTATGTAATTTCAATACTATGGCCTTTGTGTAGATATTTAAAGATGTAACGTTTAAAAAAATGTCAACATTCACCGATATATTTAAAAATTTTGAAGTTGCTTTTGTTAACATTTATGAACTGTGAACAATATATAATGATATATAAATATTTTTTTGCAAAATATTTTAGTTTCTGTTTGGTATCGGTTGATTAATCGGTATCGGTATTATCGGTATCTGTAAAATCCATTATCAGTCAACCTCTAATTTTACTTCAAGTAAATGCATCTTTATTCAAGAATATTCAGATTTTTTTAATTTTTTTATTTAACCTTTATTTAACCAGGCAAATTAATTAAGAACAAGTTCTTATTTTCAATAACAGCCTGGCAGGAG